GTTACAGAAATCTTGAACAACGTTTAAATAGATACGTAAAGTAATAAGTCCAAAAGAGACAACTGAAGAAAAAAGGCTTAAAAAAGAAGTTCAGTCACACAGGAAGAGTCTCCTAAAAATGGAGCATTGGATCTCACTTAATGAGAGTTGTTTCAGGTATACAGAATGTGAAAATTCATAGTTTTATGCTAAGGATTTGTGTTTATTCGGAGAATAAAGAAAATTCGTTATTCAAACATAGAGCTTTATTTGTTTTACATTTAACAAATAATTGATGATGATTATACAAGCAGCAAGTTGTTTTATATAAAAAATTCATTTTGATTAATCCTGAAAAATGTTGTAAAACGTTACCACGGTGTTAACGCCGCATGGTCGGGCGGCGCTAGCGTCAACATGTACTAACTGTCGCGACATATGTCGATGGGTTTCGCATCTCCGCATGTCAACAAACTCCAAAAACAATGTTATATTAAAATTGTACGTAAGTAAGTAGTATGAATTACTGAACTGCCAAGAAGTTAGGTAATTGATGGTCGATCTATAAACTGTAAATATTTATGATATATATATATATATATANCACGATACAAGTAGTATCGAAATATATATATATATATATATACACGTGCTAATGTACGTAATATTATCGATCGTTTTTTGTTTTTAAGGGTCAAAATTACTAGTTAACCTCAATGTATTTGTTGTAAATTTTAATGTGAATCAGAAGCACCTTTATTCTTACGCAAAATTACCAGTTAAAACCCCAGAAATGGTTGGCGTTGAAATTCTCCAGAAAAACGAGCCTTACTATTTGCCCGGGTAATAGGATTCCTCGACGGTGATTATTGCCCCGCTCTCGTCTCTAGGGTCTGTTTATCGGTTACTTTTCAGTTACACCGGATACGTACCCCGTAATCGTTACGTCTACGGTAAAACTTACGGGGATCTCACTCACGAAACATTACTTGACCCAGCAGTTGATCACGCGGATGAACTTATTCTCGTTGACAGGGAAACAACGCACGAAGTACACTCGTTCATTGTATCAAACCTTTTCGTTATGCATGTTAATAAAAAACCATCATCCATCCGTTATTCAGACAGTAAAACCAACGAAAGCCGACCTACAGATCGTAAGGTCCCGATCGGAGAGGACAGATCCGATCTACGCACATCCGATGCTTTCAGGTTATACAGGTAATGTTACCGGTATTAAATAGCTATTTTTTCGTAAGTAACTTTTCTGTTTTTGTTCATTTACAAACATTCGCTGTCAGGTTTTGTGCCACAAATGGGCGATGAACGAGACAAACCCTTCGAAATTCAGGCAATTCAAGGTATCGCAGATTTTGAGCGACAACAACTCAAGAAGAAAGCCTCGCGCGAGCTTTTGCGCAAAACCATCGAACTCCAAAGTGGCGTTAGGCATCCCAACAATGTTGAGGAACGCTTGGTTGAGTCTTTGAATATTTTATTCTTCCTTAGTGAGTACGATGCAAAACTAAGTTTTACCTTCCATCACCTTATAGCTGCTTCGGAGTAAATTCAAATTGCCCCTCATAATGGTTCGGCCTGAGCGCGTTGGTTTTCTCAAGTCCCAGCCCGTGAACGAAAGATACGAGAAACCCAAAGATTACAATGCTTCGCCTTACTTCATGGACAATCTGAATCCGGAGAAATATTTCATAAACGGTAAAAAAAGAAAAATTTTTTTTACGCGCAACTGATAACATTATAGTTCGTTCAATTACATAAAAACACTGGTAAATTTATAAATCATCAGGATACACGGGATACATACCTTATCGCCGCGTTCACTTCGGAAAAACGAGAAAAGCGATGGCCAATGACGGTTTGCGCGACTTTACTTCAAATTATCTCTATAAGAAAAGAACCGAGTGGGCTCCTGTGGCGATTTTTTCGGATGAAAAAGTAGAAACTTCTCACCAAGTTTCCCCTAAGGGCTATGAAGTTTATCGAAAAGATACTGCCCTCATGCCATCTTATACTGGCCACGTTCCTGGAGCCAAAGAAAAGTAAATAATTCCATTCTTTTGTATGGTTATCGTATCAACCAATTGTCTCATATCATTTGAACAAAAATAATTCCTAGAATCGGTGCTACTTATGGAGTCTCTTCCAAAGATGCGCATCGACTGATTCAAGATCATCTTTTTCATTTGGAATTAAGAAAGTGCAAGATGTCCTAACTTAAACATGTACCGGTAATTCATAATACAACATTCAATTACTATAATCGTTTTTTTATTAACATTTTGACAAATTGCCTATACAATATAATTCTGTTGATAAGGGATAAAGGTTTTACATGGTAGGAAAATAATTTTTCCAATGTAAAAAAATAAAAACTTTCAAAATTTTTTGTAAGTAAGCTCTGTACAAGTTTTTCGTAGCTTTAATCACAAAACATGTGGCAGTATTGTACTTTACCTGTAAACTTGTTTCATTTTTGCGATTTCCACTTCATTAAAATTTCTTCTGCTTGTTTGAGGTTTTCATCTTTCTGCAAAGTATTAAAAAAATTAGTTGAAATTGTGCAAAACGTAGATTAACTCTTGAGTATTTATATTCATTTAACTTCACCTTGATAAAACAATACCGGACGTTATCTTCTCCTAAATACTTGTGTTCCTCGCTATAAAATGCTGAGGGTGGTATGCCTTGAATTCCAACATTTTTCGTCATCCATTTAGTAAACTTGTAATCTTTGTAAGTATCAGTTTCTTCCTCCAACGTAACTTTGTCTTTTAAAGCAGTCCAATTTGCTACCATAAAATATCCTCCCTCAGGTACTGTGGGATACATGCCAACTTCAGATAAAAACTTTGCCATGTAATCTCGTTTCGGCATTAATTCTTCTGCAAGACTTGTAAAATAACAGTCTGGTTGTCCAAACTTTTTCAGCTCTTCTTCAAATCCTATAGCAACTGCTTCCTACAAAAAAAGGACAAGTTTTAAAAACATACACTTTTAATTAATTTTAATTTAAATATATACCTGGAGTGGAGTTGTACAAGTGTAAAGTGAGTTCTGATGAACGATTTGTAAATTTTTCATAAGGTTTGCTGGTCCATAAGCCCAGCCAGTCTTCCAACCAGTAACACTGAAAGTTTTGCCAGCGGAACCAATTGTAATTGTTCTTTCATACATATCAGGTAGTGATGCTAAAAAAACAAATAGTAATTTATTTATTTACGCCAATACTGTGTAAAATAATAGTCAACGCTTTTTTATCCACCAATTCTTATGTGTTCATATGGTTTATAAACCAACCACTCGTACACTTCATCTGATACTACAAGTGTATTCCATTTTTTTGCCAAATTAGCAATGAATTGTAATTCATCACGCGTGAATACTTTGCCTATGGGGTTGTGCGGAGTATTCACAATGATACCCTTTGTTTTCTCATTGAACAAACTTTCCATTTCTTTTTCATCGAATTTCCAATCACTAGATGAAATTTTACCACTGGTTTTTGTCTGAAATTTATTTATAGGTATCAAACTACATTTCAGTGTTATAAAAAACAGTTTCGTGAAATATTATCGTAAATTATATTTACCGGTTTTAATGGTATGAACCTAGGGACACCTCCAGCTACCCTTATCATAGGTTCGTAGCAATCAAAAAATGGTTCAATAACAATCCATTCATCTCCTGGATTGGTATGACCTTGAAGTGTGGCATACAGAGCTTCGTATGCTCCAGCTGTGACAAGAATTTCACTGTTTGCATCCAAATTTCTGTTTATGAGCTTTGAATACAATTTGGCAAGAGCATTGACTAATCTTGGATGACCCTGCAAAATAAGTAATCATTAAAAAATTTTCTGTTAATAGTAAATGTTGGGAAAACCGCCTGTACAAGACAAGTCTCGTCACACAACACTTGACAACAAATAGCGTTCTATATGAAGTATTAAAATTCTTACAAAACCCCTTGTATATTGATTTAGAAGAGGATTTTCACCAAGGGTAGTTTTAGCCAAAGCCTGCCTCACACTTTCTGGAGCATGAAAATCTGGAAATCCTTGTCCAAGATTGAGTGGCTTGTACTTCAATGAAAGCTCAATATACTCAACCCTTCAAAGAAAAAAAATTTTTAATGAAGATTGATTTAAACTTATACTTAGTAAAGTTTATAAAAAATGAGATATTTACTAACCAGACAGACTTGTCATTTCCCACGAAACGATCAGGCAAATCAAACTTAGACATGGTTGTAACTTTGCAAGTAGTCCCTAGAGAATTATTCAACAACTGAGCTTTTGCAGCTGTTCTCAGCAATGGAACCCTAGCCCACATCTAGGAAAATAACACAAAGTACACTTAAAATGATAATTAAATGAAATTGTCCAGCAAAACGTGATGTGTATATCACTAGCCTTCCAATAATATTTAGACAACATAAACTTCAGTATCAAATCAGCAAAATTAACACTTAAATTGTTGCTTGTCGATCTCTAGTGGTAGTCTCACGTTATATTGCATTAAAATTCATGGAAAGAAAATGAACAATAGAGAAGAAAAAATGAAGAAACCAATATGCAACTTACACAAGTTAAGACAATTTATTAATGAAAATGGCATGCAGTGGCACTTGCGCAGCCGGGAAAATTAAATGTCTCCTTGATCGGTTTTTCGCAAATACTCGCGTCAGCATAGGTATTTATTTAATCGAGCACAAATGTCGCACGTGATTGTAAATACTCGTGTGAAGCTCCATAAAGCAGACAGACGTTTTTAGTGGTACAACGTGTCTCTTATACATACATATGTATTGACGTACGTGCTTGAGTTAAATAAAAGCTATATCTTATCGATACATTTATCGTGCTTGTAATCGTAAGGAAAATTAGTTTACGCCACGAGGTATAATCGACGTTGTAGATGACTTGGCAGAAAATTTAAATGCAAGTTTATTTATTTCCAAGTTGTTTATTTAATAAATAAATATGTACCTACCAAACGCAATTTGAACAAGAGTAAATTTTTGTAATAATAATGTAGAAAGTATAAAACAAATAATATGTACTTATGTTTATAAAAAATTTTTATTTAAAATTACTCTTACGAAAATCATCAAAAAACAAAAGCTATTTCTCTTTGTGACATGCATGGTCGATTGAAAGTTTGAAAGTATAGTATAACTGCGTGACATATTTGAGCGAAAGTACCGATCTCGACAGAATCGGTTGCGCAATTTTTAAAAGTCTTTGGATAGTTAAAGCCCTTTAGCTTTGGCCTTCATCTACAGTTCCCCTCTCCCCGCCTGTATTCAACTTGTTGAATGTCAGATCAAGTCCGTGGTAAAAAATATTAGGTATTTGTAGCAACAGATGTAATATTTAAGATTCAACATTTGGTTAAGTTCCAATTAATATGTTTTAAACGATTTTTAAAATTCTTATTACCATTAAAACAGAGTTGTGTTTCATGCGTGTTTTTTTCAATCGTTACTACTTAGATTTTCTACGTTACCGATCACAACTACTTAGCTGAAAAAAAATTTACATTTTAGATTTTTGGTATTCCAATAATATAATCCATAACCTTGACGAATAAGAATTTAATTCATTTATTTTTAAGTGTCCAGCAAGAATGTGCGTCAACTCTTATTGTTTGGAAATTCATGCAGTTATCTAACATAACAAAGTTAAGTTCCTGCACATTTTTATGGAATACAGTATTTGGACGATCTTCGGCTATCGCGAATCATTTGACGTAAAGGCAATTTGATTCTCTCTATCTACTTTTTGTTGAACTAAATAATAGGGAAAGTTACTGCTAACTGTCAAATTTTGTGTTTAAAATAATCCGCTAACCATCAGGTGGAACGAATCGAATCAATTGCAAGGAACAAGGAACGACGAACAGAATAGAGAGAGAGAGAGAGAGAGAGAAGACCATGGGAGATCTAAGCAATTTGAGCAAGTCAGTTTACTTAGTAAATATTTAATATAATCAGTCGATTTATCATCATCCTCAGTGGCTCCGTCCTTGCCGTGTTCGGAATAGTTAGAATTGTTCACAGTGTATGTATATACGTATACTTGTACACACTATACATAAATATACTGCCGTGCATTGCTTTTACGGGTCTTCCAAATATCAGTAAGTAGGAATACACTCGAAAAGAAGATCGAGGAAGATTTGTGACAACGACGTCGTGTGTGCATGCGAATGCGACAGGTCAGTGTCCAGTGTCAGTGGAGTCAGTGCAGAGAATTGAAGATTATCAACCAAGTTGGATTGAAAAGTAGTGCAAACGACGCAAAAGTGGTATAGGTAGTGCTTGTTGGTTCTGGATAACCAAGTGAAAAAACATCACATCCTCGAGTACAAATTGCGCAGATTGGTGGATAGTCCAGTACGGAAGCTATTGTTACATATTAGGTGCAACGGCGACGTCAACCTGCAGGTTCCATCTTCGGGCGGTGCTGCTGCAGCTTTCCTGGGCCTCATTACGAGTGACAGTGACACCGGGTGCGTATTTTAAACCATCAAAAAAATGAAGAAGAGGAGGATCGAGGGGCTGCGCTGGTGTATACATCAGATAAATAATACACGCCCCAGACAGAGCGTGCATGAGTGGTACTATGGAATGTGTATTTTTTTTATTTTCAATATGATAATAAAGTAACAAATAATTAGGGATTGACTTCTCGATGGAGTGGTGGAGGTGAAGGCATTAGAAAGAGAGGTTGGCTCGTGGTGTGCCCGTTATTTTTCTGCTGCGCCGAAATTCAGTACATACCTATATACTTATACACAGTAGATGTAATCATATGAGTTTACACAGTATAAGTTACAATTACGAATTATTGTAACACGAATTTTCACACGTAGATATAAATGATGTAGGTACACAATACGTAGCAATGTTTCCCATCTACAACTACGTCATGCTTACATACACCCCCTTATTTCGTATCTTGATTAATACCCAAAAACTGCTGTAATTGTGGGTGTATCCACATTCAATTGTAGATCCATTTGATACCTCTATGTGTAAATTCTCATTGGCCTTACTGAGGCCCAGAGAGGTACATGTTACATGTATGCACATACGTGATATACAATTGTAAGAAATTCTTCAGTGATTACAATGCACATGTGCAATGACAGTAGTAATGGATATACAAAACTTGTTGGCAATACAAAACTTGTTTCTCCAGGTATTGTTCATATTATGAAAAGTTTTGTTGTATACATTTGGACGATTATTTGAACAACTTAATCATTGTTAGAAATTTACATCAATTTGACACTCATAAAGGTTTTTGTTTGTAATCGAACCTTTATATTACTGTTAAAAAATCCATCGTTTTGCTGTTCGATATTATTTTCAGTATACACGATACTGCAATCCAATGTAATCAGCTAATAAATTACTAAACTCTTCTCTAAGTATATCTAACACTTGAAATCATTTTCTAACATTACTCGCACGACTATATTAACAAGAATACCACTCGGATTATTGACAATTCCAACAGCTATGACAAGGTATAACCATATAAATTTAAATCACAACGATTATTGTATATTTTTTTAAGTTACCTACGTGTCATTTATTTACTAAATTTAAATTCACGTGCGCTGTCTCGTCATATATGGTCACTGGTCAAGTGTCCAAGAGTGTAAAGGGAAGGTAGTGCGCGGGCGCGAGAGTGACGTTGAGTGCCTTACGGCGGCGGTGAAGTTCACTTTCATCATCGTTATCATTTATCATTATCACCCACAATGCATCGTTTTCATGCTGTCAATGCCATATGCACATATATGTATACATAACAGTATAATTGCGCTATGATTGGTAGAGAAATCTGCGGGTCGGTGTACAAGAATACTCGATGTAGGTATACTTGGTATAGAGTAAGTACGGATCGCGGTGCGTGCATCGTGCCTTCATCAAACTTTAAACTCCAAAACGTACTGTATATAGGTATAAACAGAGGTGAGACAGTGAGAGAAAACGAGCAGCAGCGCCTTCGTGTTGTGGTGGCGGACAGAACGGAGCAGCAGGGCAGGGAGCTGCTGGCAGAGCAGAAGTGTGTGTTCGTCGTCGTCGTCGTCGTCGTCGCGGTTCTGTTCTTCTTTCTTCCTCTCTTTCTATATCACTCAATCGTTTATATAGCGTAAAATATACGTATATAGACAGATACTCAAAGAAGCTAGGAAGAGGAGTACGTACTCGCGATTCGCGATCCAAAAAGGAAAACTTAGTTTCTTTTGTTGCTTTCCCCCTGCTGTTTTCTTCGTCGGTTCGTCCCCGCTTTGTGTGTTTGTGTGTGTGCGTGCGCGCGTGTGTGTCTGACTTCCTCGACGAGGAGCCAGTGCAAAAAAAGAAGTGTTGTTGCAGCTGTTCCAATGGACTGTGTTTTTGTATGCTGCACCTAACACACAAGTTGTACTTATATAGTGGCTCCTAGTTAATTGCGAGAAGAAAGTTCAAACATTGGACCACTCGGGGAGCTAGGTAAGTTGTGTGCACGTTCGTCAGGAAAACGATGACGACGATACGTATAAGCTAGCATCCTTGGACGTACGTGTATCTCTCTGTATTGCGTGCAAATTCAAGCCTAATACGTATAGTTGACGACGAAGATGACGAGGACGACTTACACGCGATAATAATGTCGGCGGCGCCCATGTTATACTGTTGTATCTTTATCTATCACTCGGTATTTTCAGTGTATGCAATGCGTGCTGCACTTGTAAGATATACGTGTATGCGCATATAACGCATCATCTTTCTGTGCGTGCAATATTTTCTGCTCTGTGTACCATACCATGTATATAATATTTATTAATGGCATGAGTTTTTTTGGAGCAGAGTAGGTATCTCCATATTATATCCATACACTGTGATAAATATTTCAGAAAAACTCACGTTGAGTATACTTTGTCGTTGTCAATAATAAATACACGGTTGAGTTATTTTTCGGTCTCATAACACCAACAGTTCTATTGTTGACACATAATAGCAGTAGACAACGAGACGAGTGGATAGGACAGCTCTGTATGAATACAGAAAAGGAAAAAAAAAACGGAGCAGAACGAGAGAGAGGGACGAAGGAAAAAGTGGCGCAGGCAGAGTTAGTTATACACATTGCAGGCGCTCTGCTGGATTATCTCTGTCTCCTCTGCGTGACTTCCGTCTCTATCTCTGTCTTTCTCTCTTTAAAACTAATTTTTTTTTTTTTTTTTATCTCCTTGTCTTTCACATGCATATATACTTACCTATACACGAGTAGGACGTATCATGCATACTTAATACTTGCACTGCACGTACTGACATCATAATTACTGACGCCCGATTAGTACAGTTCTCTCTCTTTCTCTGCGGGTGTGTGGGTATGATAAGTGTAGAAATATATACATGCTAGTTGGCAGTGATAAGTATTTGTGTTTTTTTATTTGTTCAGGAGTACTTGAAATAGTTTATCTCCACGCGATCGGTGTCGATAATCCATCGCGGTGCACTGGATGTAGCCATAGTATAGGTATAATACGTAAACAATTGGCAGTGATCTGTCATCTGTGTCGCGTTCGCGTTTCACAAGGAAGTGTCAAAGTCGTCTAGTCTCTGTATGCTTTTTTTCATATCAGTATTCACATTACCAACGAGAGAGGGATTCGCACGAGGTTATATAAAGCTCCAAAACACGGTGGCAGCTGCTCTCATCCAAAGGTATTACTTGGATATAACGTGTACGGAGCCAGGAGCAGTTCAGGTGTATGTAAATCGTACACATGAGGTACACGCAGCCTCTCCCCTTCACGCGCCTCTCCAATTTCCAATACACCTATAGGTGCACACATACCTTTTGCAAAGTCACCTGTTTCCAGAGCGCGCGCGCACACCTCAAATACTATAAGCAAGCAGGATGCTTAACATGCGTCGCGAGAGATGAACGGAGATTCTCAGAGATTTCCCCGTGATTGTAGTGGTGGAACCGCCTAAGGAGCCCCGGTTTTCCCCTGATGTCATTGTCACCCACCTACAAGTATACAATATTATGCATCTGTGAACTACGGGAACGACTCCTTATCCTATTGTACACAATGTCGTTGTTGAGGGTCCTTCTATCGCCTCGGTGTTTGTTTGCTCGATAGTTTAACCAAATGTCACAAACCAAGTTACTCTGGTTTTCTGTACGGTATAAGTTTACTCGCAAAACTGCGGTGCGTGATGTTTCCTTGGTTCAGTCGAGTTTACAACGTACTTATTTCGCTGCTGACTCGGTGCCGCGTGAACTTTCATCTCTGGCGTGCTGCCCCTGCTGAGAGAGAGAAAAAAAAAAGCCATGGTCGCGGTAATAAACATTATATTCTGTACTTCGACGCTGCTACAATCGACCTATTTATCTTTCCGTCCCAAAGGCGGAGACGCGAGCAAAAAAAGGTTCTCGCGAGATTTTTTATTTTTAATCGCGCGTAAATTTATAAATGTGTCGTTGGGCTGCACCAACGGCTCAAACAAACCGTCATTTTTCTCCGGTCATCGGGCAGAGACGATAATTAACGATAATCGCACGACGGAGTGTGTGTGTGTGTGTGTGTGTGTGTTCTTTTTCACGGGTCCAGAACTCCTGTCCCGCGCCCCGAAGCTTTTGCTTTTGTCAGGATCGAACGCGGTGGGCTATTGGGAATTTGTTCTTATCTAATCTCCGATGCTCGCGTACACTGTACTTATGTTTATTGTATACAGTACAAGTATACCCAACACCTGGTGTAATCGTATAATTGTAACAAGTGGAAGAGCAAATTTGCTCCTCCGAACGTTTTTCCAGCCTATGTGTCCGTTGGAGGGACTACAAAAGCTCGACAGTACTTTTATACCAGTCGTGGCTGTAAAAACTATATTTAAACTAACTTGTGTGTAAAGTGCACCCGACGAATTGTAGGTCAGTTGCAAAGGTAAAAAAGCGCATCACTTGTACCTACATTACATTGCGAAGGCCGCTATACGAGTTTATAGCTCGTTTGATACAGTTTTTTTTTTTTTTTTTTTTTTTATTCATATAATTTTTCATCATGAAAATAATACCAACAACTACGAAATCGTGTAATAGTTAATGTTTACACAATTCGTTCAAAGTACATTGAACTGTGAGTTAATTATTAAAAAAGCCTCTGTAGCGTAAAACGTTGTTTCGGTAGAAATTAAATAAACCCAGCGCTGGCGTCGTATGAAAAAGAAAAAGAACTACAAGTCAAGAAAATAATATATTTAAGTACACGGTTCAAAATTTAGGATTCCACTCCTTTTTTTTTTCGTCCTTCAAAAATAAAATAATTGCGCCTCACGACACGTGACTCGCGTAATCCTTTGTCTATACTCTTTTTTTCTTTTCTTTTTTCTTTCGACTCATCGATTCGAAACTAAAATACTTAAGTACTTAATTACGCACGTGTGCAAACACAACTCGAAACAAGCGAACCGAGCGTAGGCGCGTGTGTGTGCAAACGCGTGAAAAGTGACGAGTGATAAAAGGAGAATGAATGAGAGAGAGGAAGTAAAAAGGAAAGAAAGTGTATGTGTGCAAGTATAATATAATTGCGGAGCTATGCGCGACACTCGAGATATATGAGTATTTATAAGTGAATCTCTCTCGCTCGTATGCGCTCCGCGAGTTGCTACAACAATGTATACACCATTTGTAAACAAAGTATTTGGAGCTTAATGGTATGTGGCTTTTTGTTCTCGCTACACGCGGCCCCTTCACTATTTATTATTGTTAAACGAATGCGTCGGCAGCATTTTTATAAATTAAATTGTTTATGGTAAATGATTTCGTTTTTTTTTTTTTTTTTCGTTGCTGGACAAAAAGCACCTTTAGTGTTAATATGAGGGCCGATTCGCAAGCAACAACATATTATTATTATTCGTGCACGCCTAGTATCGACAAGTTATCTCTCTCTAATCTTAATTTGCAATCGTACACATTATATTACATGTTCACTATTACGAATATTTATAAAAAAAAGTGGGTACCTACTTAACAAAAAATACCAATCAGATCCTGTATGTACCTATTATATCCATCGAGCTTAATGTTGCAGTTGATATATACAGTTCCGATCAAAATTTTTGCCAGTAGAATTATACATATTATTATGCATCACATGTATAGATATTAGAGCTCAACGTAAGGGTATATAGTTACATCGTAACAATAACTTTGTATCTCTTCATTTGCAATATTACTTGCCATCAATGACTAAGTATGTCACGTGTGTTTTTTTTTTTTTTTTTTTTCCACCAGCAATATCGCGGAGGATCGGTTGGAAAGAGCATTTCCGCGTATCTGCACAGGTACTTACAAGTAAGTATGTAAAAGACACGCGAAAGGACCGACGATGAATGAAACGACGAGTCGAAGAATTATTTGTAGAGTTGAAAAAACCACGAGTGCTTTCGTATTAATACACTCGCGAGTCGGGAGTTGGGAGTTGGGAGCTATACACTTGTCAAGTAGTCATTGCACACAGCTGTATGTGTAATTACATTATATATATGTACTCCATGGCGGAGGTGACGTTTCGCTCGATGTGTTGGATGCGCGGGGGCGGTCACAAGTTCAGGGCTCCCTCTCTCAGCCTCAACAGTATAAGATATACTTATGTATAGAAATGACAACGACGGGAAAACTTTGTTCGGGTATTTTTATGATGCGCAAACAAACAGGGTGTGTGATTTTTTTTTGTCCACTCGCATTGGTTTTCACTGTATAATACTGACCAACCTGAACGTGTAAGCTGCGAATCTCTAGAACCTCTCGCGATAATTTGTAATTTATTTTTTTTTGTTGAATAAAACGTGTGGTCTGCGAGTGTGACACAGGGGTGTATACGTTATATACATGCCTCGCTTAGTTGTCATTGACTGTAAATGTTTCCTTGTACCGATGGCGTCAAAATTTTCATTACTTATATAATACAGCGTGAAATGCTTCGTAAATCCGAAGCTCTTTCGAGGGATACTTACGTTGGTTCAATTTAAGTAAGAGCAGGTCTTGAAACCTACAGTAAAAAAAGGCCCTAAATGGTCAACGATAATTTTTTTGTTTATAATTTTTTTTTTTTTTTTCCTGCCTTTATCATTCGATTAAAAAGAAAGAAACAAAACAGAAGTAAAGCTGGAGGCGTGTGGTATCGTTTACACGTACACACATACATGTACTTCAAATTGTTGTACATGGCTGCACGAGCGTTCGTCTGATTTATCAATTCGAGTCACTGAATAATTCAATGATTTTACCGTCTTGGAAGCTAATCGATCGCCACTCGCGATATTTCAAATTTACGTAAAGGAGATACGCGAAGGAAAAACAAGCAGCTCAAGTCTCTCGCAGTAAGGGATTTCCAGTGTTTTATTTTTTGCAAACGTTAATACGCGTGTACGTGTGTGTGTGTGTGTGTGTGTGTGTGTGTGTGTGTGTGTGTGTGTGTGTGTGTGCGTATGTGCTTTTGTGTCGAACCCACTCTGTTAATGCAATTAGGAGATTGACTATACCCCCTTACTCTTTTTCTCTTCTGTGTCGTTACATATTATTAACATTTCCGGTGTGTATAAAAGAGAGAGAGGCATTTCATTTGGTCAGTGCTGTTGCAATACGACACACACACGTTTTATCTTATTATTTATACACTTACACACCGTGTGTGCGTATGCGTGTATCCAAAGAGAAAGAGAGTTTAACAAATTTTTCACATCTTCATCGTCAATGTGCATATGTTACATGCGTGAAAATGGCCTTATTCGGTTTCCAGAGCGCAAACAATTTGGCTTATCTGCCAAACACCGGTTCGTCGCAAAAAGCCCGTTATCTTGTCGCATTGACTCTTGGTGAAATCTTTCGCCGGGCCAAAGTGTATGTTTTAGGTGTCTCCTCGATTTTTTTATTAAATTTCGATCATTAACGTATACCGAGATGCTTCCCCGACGAATAAGTCATTTTTTTTGTTCTCAATAAAACTGGCAATTGTCTGAAATCCATGTTGTTGTGTGTTTTCTAGGTCAAAATGGCTAACCGGGGTACGGTCCAGAGACCGAACGGCACACAGGGCAAAATATGTCAGTTCAAGCTGGTTTTGCTCGGCGAGTCGGCCGTTGGGAAATCCAGTCTCGTACTGAGGTTCGTCAAGGGCCAATTTCATGAGTACCAAGAAAGTACGATTGGAGGTATGTTTTCTTTTTTCCTCCAAAAATACGTTAACCAAATAATGTCGGTACGAAAAAAATAACAACTATGACGTTTTTTCAGCTGCATTCCTGACGCAAACCGTGTGCCTGGACGAGACGACCGTGAAATTCGAGATCTGGGATACCGCAGGCCAGGAGCGCTATCACAGTCTTGCGCCCATGTATTACCGTGGAGCACAGGCAGCTATTGTGGTGTACGACATAACAAATCAGGTCCGTGGTTACACGTGTCATTTTTTCGACTGATTGATTTTCATTGTTACCGTCTTGTTGATGTGTCAAATGGTCTTTGTTAGCAATGGAACTTGAAATGATGAATGATTGATACAGAAAAGGACCAATAATTGTCATGTTTGTCCTTTTATCATGCAGGACACATTTACGCGAGCGACAACGTGGGTGAAGGAACTCCAACGACAAGCCAGTCCGAGCATAGTGATAGCGCTGGCTGGAAACAAGGCGGATCTGGGAAGCAAGCGAGTGGTCGAGTATGAGGAAGCCCAGGCGTACGCCGATGAGAACGGCCTTCTATTCATGGAAACATCTGCCAAGACAGCGATGAACGTCAACGATATATTCCTGGCTATTGGTAATGCTGATTCATAACTCATTCCTCGTTGCAGTACACATTTGAAATAATTTTTTTCAATCGATGTTTATTTTTGGCTCATCCTGTATAAATAATCATTCGGTGGTTACAGCTAAGAAACTTCCAAAGAACGAACAAGCAGGAAACGCGAGTACAAGTGGACAGGGTGCTCGTCGACTAGTCGAATCGGATGGGCAAAAGCCAGCCACCGGCAACTGCTGCAAGTGATTGACTAAATCCGTATGTGTTTCACACACTAAATTGGTATCTATTTTTGCAGTAGTTAAATTTATGATCCCATAAACGAATTGAAGAGAGGAATAAGATCATTGGATTTGAAAGTTTAAACTATAAACAAAAAAAACAAAAATTAATGCATATATATAAAAGAAAAAAAAAAAAAAAAAAAAAAAAGCACACTTTCACCTCTTTTCAGAGCTGATACGCAAGAGCTTTTCCCGGAGTTCGGTGGCGATGAGCTTCTGCTCGCGCATCCAGCGCCGTAGCCAATTGAGGACGTGCTTGGACTCCTCGCACACCTCTGACCTGCTGATCTTCATCTTGACGAGTTCGCTCGACACGCACTCCAGCGACTGCGTCTTTGCGTCGCACTCCGTCCTCAGATCAACGAGCGAACTTTGCATGTCCTCCAGCTGCAGCACTATGTCCTCCAACTGCGGCAAAGGGATTTCAAGAGCTGTTTGAATCTCTCTCTCTCTCTCTCTCTCTTTTTTTTTTTTCTCCTCATAATACAATATATATGCTCACCTCTGCCATGCATTTGTTGTTGCTGTCCTCGAACGATTTGTTCTGGCGAATCAGCTCGTCGTTTTTGTCCGTGCAATTTTGAAGCTTTTGGTTGACGCAGGCCAATTTCTTCTCCAGCAGCATTACTTCGTTCCTCTGGTGCTGGCACTGTTGATGAACATCTGCTTTTTAAATGCATCGAAGCTCGAATGATTATACCGAAAGAAACTTTCATTGAGAAAAAAATAACTTCTGATCAAAGGGATATCTTTTTTTTCGTCCAAGGAAATGTTATTCTATTAGTATTTGGTTAATAAAGTTGATGCTTCTCGAAAGACATTTTTTCCTCAATGCGTTACCTCGGATACTCACACTACGCTCGAAGGTCTCGCATTTGTTCGACATCGCGTGGTACTTGCTCTGGAGGTCCGACAACGATTTTAATTTCTCTTGGCAATCCTCGAGCTCCTTTGTCAATTTTTTCACCTCCTCGTACTTGCTTTCGCGTTGNTACATCATGGAGATAAATCACATTTAAACTCATAAATATATGTCTATATATATATAGTTTGTATATTTTGACTATTACAAGTTGGGTGTGGTAAGTACTTATTACGCATTATACTGCTTTTGTAACATCTACTGAACGATTAAAAATCAAATGACTGGCAAATAATCGTTTGAATCGATAACTAATGGGGATTAAACAATTCAACGTGGTTTATCACTATTACACATATATTAATCAAGTTTTATTTCAAAGAGTTAATAAACAGACTTTTTTTTTAATAATTCGCCAAACCATGCACATTAATATCAATATTTCTTTGATTTCAGATTTGTACCATAATCAAGAAAAGTAAATACAACCCAAACGTGTCCACAACCAATTTGAATGGATCATACACCGTAAATAAACTACAAAAAGTGGTAGAAGGTGAATCGTGCATTATGATGAACAATTGAAATCAAACATACACGCGTGATTGTAAATCGCGCACTAATAAAAGCGTATTTATTTTCAAATTACGACTTGACGAGTTATCATCAAAGTTCTTAATTTTTTTTTTTTCTGAGTACGCGAGAAAGTTGAGTACAGATAAAGTTGCAAGATTTGTTACGTAATGATATGATTGTGTGCACGAAGTGGTCCCATTTGTAATGTTAATAACAAAGGTGAAGAAACAAAAAATGAAAAGTGAGTGGTGTTCGTTATAAATAATATAAATACACAATACTATTATAAAAAAAAAAAAAAATTATGTTGGTGATATGATTTGTGTAATAAGTAATGATAATGATGATTATTATGGTATGCAGAATAACTAAACATTAAAGACGAACGCGTGTACGTGTATACTTTTGCATATACATGTACACTCGTCGAATAACGTATATAAATATATATCAGAATATATAAATATAAATACATGGTAATAATTATTCGGAAAAAAATTTTGGCACGAAAATATTGTAAGATAGTAGGCCATTCCTGCTGCTATGATTATTAATTATGCATTCTCTTTGTTAGACACTATACCGTGTACAACAATTTTACTCTAAATTATAGAGCATACTAATTTAAACGACAAAAAAATAATGTATTGATGAATTAATGGCCATTGTCTGGAAATCTCTACAGGAGAATAGAGAAAATGATGAATTTGTGAATATCAAATTAAAAGAAAACAAAAACAAAAAAAAAAAAAAAACAGGAAACCAAACGATTGCGCTTTTGTGAATGTCACGATGTTTATTCTTCTTCGAGACCAACTTCGGCCGGTTTCTTTTTATCTGCGTCTCTTTGTAATAATTTAATAAACGAAAAATAAGTAAAAAGTCCAACTGTTCATCGTTTATTTGAGCCAATAAATACATAGACGCGTAAAAATGCCCAAAAAATTTAGCCCTCAGTGTCGTTGTTCGTGTTTGAAGAGAGCCGTGAAAAATCTCAGCAGCGAGACGCTCGCCGAGGCAGACGAGGATGGCATCATCAACGTCATCGGCAGCAACTTTTTGTCGGAACGCAATTTGATTCGAAGCTCCTCCTTGTCACCGAAACTATCAGCATCGGAGCCCAATATAGCCTACAGCGTCAACTACGACGATCTTTGCGGACCCTGGCCCTCACCTGATAACCCGGTGCTCGAGCAGTACGACGATGCCACTCTTAAACCCACCCTCTGCACTTGGAAGTTCATAACAAAGCGGGACGCCAAGTGTATGAGAGAACACATGTTCGACAGAGATGTCATCAAACGATTAATCGGTACATGCACAAGGGTTGTAAATTTACAGTGATGATCGAGCTACTAATGTTAGGTAGTGACAGGAAAGAATATTTTCGTTTTTTTTTTCTTTCAATTTTCAGAAAAAAAGTTACCCGATCACGTTTTGTTTCAAGGCGATGGAAAAGAGATCTTTTTGAGCTTCAGTTGGGAGATTTTTAAATACATGAGGTATACATGCAATAAAAGTCACCGAAAAAGCATTTTTTTTTTTTTTTTTTTTTTTTTATGCAAAATTATTTGATTTATTTCGCAGGACAATAATATGTTTGTGTACTCGACTGGTTTCTTCCGTATTATGTATTTACAGTGATGCATCATGTAAATATACGCATGTATAATTTTTCCAGAGATAACGAATTTTCCGGTGAAGCGATATCCTCGATATTGGGCTTATTTTATTTAACTCACCGATTTTTTCTCTCCGATCGTTGGCACTCGGCTCGCGAGACTTTTAACTTCTTTATCCATGGAGTGGAGCTTCATACCCGCTTGGTGAGTTTTAAATCTGAATACGCACGTGGTATGTAATTACATGATATACAGTACGAGTACATACGTACAAACGCGAACGTATTTTTGTAACGTTTTACAGAAACCCCCGGATCACGACTTGGTTCTCAATTTTGCCGAATGTGACAAGTTACGTGACATGTTTCGGTCCGTGTACATCCGAAAGTTAGAGCTTGTACGTGCGGTGTGCCTACCCAGGTATAACTTGGTACTTAAAATTAACAAAAAGTGTGGCGTGAAACAGGAAGACGATACATGCGTATATAACTCGCTTGAATCGCGCAACTCCAAGCAACAGCAAGTGTAACCATTATTTGTTTTTTTTTTTTTATAAAAAAAGTTATATTTCATAAGTATATATTCACTCATAAAAATGTAAATACAAATACATAAATATAAACGTAGCGTGTGGTTAATTTCACTGTACCGCGTATTATATAATGTTTGTACACTATAATATAATATCGGTATACCAGTTGAATCCATCGAATATAATATAGTTTAAGCACACGAAAGGACCACTCGATCCTTTTCTGTATGAAAAAAAAAAATTCCATACATAAAGATGTCATTACAAATAAAATGTATAAATATGCGAGTGGTGGCTGGTGCGGCTATTTACTACCGGACGTCTGATACCCGTAGTCTTTGTCCGACACCCGTTGATCGCTCAAAGTACTCTCGTTGATTTGGGGTGTTCTCGGCACTTCTTTAGCCAAGTGCTCCATAGTACCGAACCACGTGCAATCCCCCTGTCCAGCGATATTGTTTACCGGGTCTTCCCTGTACTCCTGAAATTATTTTTACCGATGACTCTATTGCGCATCGCGTGCAATAAAAAAAAAAAAAAAAAAAAAAGTCATAGGAATCCCCTCACCCTTCTGAAATAAGAGTAAGTGCCATTCGACGTCTCCTTTGGCTGGGAGTACAAGTGAAAGCCGTTCCTCTGTCTGACCGGAGATTTCGCGGCCAAACTCGCGGGCGACGAATAATAAACGGTCTGCCTGACAACCGGTGGTCTGCAGCGAATGAACTTGAGCCTCTTGGCAAGGACTCGGTTCGTCCTCTTGAGTATTTTCAAAGCGCTCGCCGCCACCCTGAAATTTAATTTTTCGTTTTCTTAACCATCGAAAAATTATCGCACAGCAAAAAAAAAAAAAAAAAAAAAAGCACACTTTCACCTCTTTTCAGAGCTGATACGCAAGAGCTTTTCCCGGAGTTCGGTGGCGATGAGCTTCTGCTCGCGCATCCAGCGCCGTAGCCAATTGAGGACGTGCTTGGACTCCTCGCACACCTCTGACCTGCTGATCTTCATCTTGACGAGTTCGCTCGACACGCACTCCAGCGACTGCGTCTTTGCGTCGCACTCCGTCCTCAGATCAACGAGCGAACTTTGCATGTCCTCCAGCTGCAGCACTATGTCCTCCAACTGCGGCAAAGGGATTTCAAGAGCTGTTTGAATCTCTCTCTCTCTCTCTCTCTCTTTTTTTTTTTTCTCCTCATAATACAATATATATGCTCACCTCTGCCATGCATTTGTTGTTGCTGTCCTCGAACGATTTGTTCTGGCGAATCAGCTCGTCGTTTTTGTCCGTGCAATTTTGAAGCTTTTGGTTGACGCAGGCCAATTTCTTCTCCAGCAGCATTACTTCGTTCCTCTGGTGCTGGCACTGTTGATGAACATCTGCTTTTTAAATGCATCGAAGCTCGAATGATTATACCGAAAGAAACTTTCATTGAGAAAAAAATAACTTCTGATCAAAGGGATATCTTTTTTTTCGTCCAAGGAAATGTTATTCTATTAGTATTTGGTTAATAAAGTTGATGCTTCTCGAAAGACATTTTTTCCTCAATGCGTTACCTCGGATACTCACACTACGCTCGAAGGTCTCGCATTTGTTCGACATCGCGTGGTACTTGCTCTGGAGGTCCGACAACGATTTTAATTTCTCTTGGCAATCCTCGAGCTCCTTTGTCAATTTTTTCACCTCCTCGTACTTGCTTTCGCGTTGCCCGCCCAATTGGTCGCAATGGCACGTTGACTGAAAAATCATCCGTTATACAAAATTACTTTACACGGCAGATCAAACGTATTATACACAAAAACGATCGAGTCTTACCGAACTGGACGGCTGGTAATCGTCCGGTGGACGTCGCTCCGCTGACAACTTGGCCAATTGGCTCTTGCATTTGTTCAAACTCTGGACACTTTTGTCGTAACACCTTTGAATTTCCGCGTAATCGTTCTGAGCCTGCCTCAACTGTAAAACATGTGGTGGTTATTACTTTGCGTTACCGTAAAAGTAAAGGCGCACTTGAAAGTTTGGATAAAAAGGCAGTGTTTTTCAATCACTCGAAAAATATACCGATGCTGAATAAAATTGTAAGCATACGTACCTTGAGCCGTAACGAGGATGACTCGTTTCTGAACTTTTCTTCGTTCACTGCAGCTTTGGATTTAAAGAGACAGTATTCATCCTAAAACGTAACATTTATAATTAAATATATATAGAATGGCTGAAAAAAATGTACAAAAATCACCTTCAGTTCCTGATAACTGTCGGATTTTTCTTTCAACGATATTTTCAACGAGTCTATGTGATGTTGCATCGCGCGAACCGTGTCTTTGTAAGAATCAATGTCGGAAGAACAATTTTTGAAGCGCATGTCCGAGTGATACAACTTGTCCTTCGTGTCGTCGATGACGTGCAACAAGTTACCCATCAAGGTTTCATTTTTAGTTAGCTCACATTTTAAATGTTTTATCTGAAGAAGAAAAAAAAAAATCATTGATAAAATATTTCTGATGCTTGGAGTGAAACTTGCGAGTATTTACCTGCTCGTGTTTGTACGCGATTTCTTTTTGCAGCGATGCGATTTTCCCTTTGTACTTTTCGACGCTGGCGTCTTTGACTTGCTGCAGTTCTAGTAATTTTTTCGACAAGCACTCGTTGTTGCACTTGTACTCATCGATAATCTAATGGAAAAATCGTTGAGCATTAAATTTTACAAATGAAAAAAAAAAAGGAAAAAAAAAAAACAATTGAAATTTCACCTTTGTGTAATTTTTCACGTCGTATCTGAACTGTTGGTTTTCCGCGTGCAACGACTCCAACTCTATTCTGAAACTGTCAACAGAATGATCCGCAACGCCCACCTTTTTCATCTCTTCTTCGATGATATCGAAGTCCAACTTGAATACTTGCAACTGTTGCTTCAAATCCTCATTTTCGGACAGCAACTCGTCAATTTCTCGTTTCTTTTCCAAAGTAAAACGCTTGCGCGAATCCTCGAAACCACACCTATTTGAAAAAACGATAATTCATTTTTTTTTTTCACCACATCTGTACCGTGCACTCTTCTCACCTCAATTTTTCCATCTCTCCGTTGGCTTCTCGGCACTTGCATTTAAAATGCTCACATTGTTTTTCCAAATTGATTTTCGCCAGCTCCAATTCCCTCACCTACGGCATCAAGTAAATTAGTTTAACCATCGCATGCGAATAACCGATCCGCAAAGCAGTAACGACTCCCTTTACCTTCGATTTCACGTGAGCACACTGCCGATTTCGCGCATCCAGCTCTTCCTAAAAGCAATAAAGTGCATAAGCGTACGACAACCGGGATATCATTTTAGACGCGAAACGACGATACGTATATTTGAAAAAAAAAAAAAAAAAAAAAAAAAAAAAAAAAAAAAAAAACCAAACAGTCGAGAATAAAAAACACGAAACAACAGATTGCCGAGTGGTTTATTGCCAAAACAGTGTACACGTTGGGTCGCGTGCAGCCTACCTGATACTTGTACAGTAAAACGTAATAGATAAAATGCAGGAGTAACGCGTGGACGAGTTCGGTGCGCTCCAGGTGGCCGATCTTCCTCTGCAGCGTGCTTATCGCGTCCCGCTGCCGCTCCAAAAGCGCGCCCTGCTCGCTCGCCTGCAAAGCCAGAAGCGCCCAAGCATTAACCACCCCGTCACTCGATCTCGGGGTACATCACCCACGCGATCGTTTGCTCACCTCGCCGTAGCAGTCGCTGTACTGGCTCCGAGTTTCGCTCAGGTACAACCTCAGCGACTTGATCATTCGACTTTTGCTCAAACTCTAAAATACAAAGTTTCGTTCGTTTCATTGTTGGACGACCACTTTTTGCTCTCACACTTTGCGGGAAGTATTTCAACTTACTCGTTTCTTATGCACAAACCATGCTCGACTCTCTTGCGGGTTTTTTTTTTCGCAAATTTCTTTTTATTTCAGCACTCAAAATTTGTTTAAAAAAAAAAAATAAAAAAAATCAAATCACTGTATTATACGTAGCGCACACTGCACACGTTGTTAGTAAAACGCCTCAAGCTGGTAGGAGTACGGGGTAAAAACGCCGATGGCGATCGGGAATCTCGCGGATGGGTGGTGGTGTGAGCGTGTGTTAGGGTTGAGTAAAAAAAATTACATGCTTGTCGATTAGCTGCCATTGAGTTGCACAAACTCACAAGTTCCTTTAATTCAACGTCTAGTCGTAATTTTACACAATTATGTTATATTCCTCCTTTATCGCCAACAAATCATCGTGTTGGGCAATAATTATTTTTGTTTTCTGTTGCGTCTCCATTATTTTACATACCAATTCCATGATTAGACTAAATCCCTAACAATCAACGTAAACGCAATCTCAAAATAACAAAACAAAAAAAGGGTTCGATTGCTCGTGGCTTTCATCATTTTTTAGTTATAACGACAAAACAAAAAAAGAAAACAACGGCTTTTTTTAATTAAACGTCGTGCACGTTGCTGTGATTAAAAACAGTGGAAGAGACGGGAGTCCATGGCTCACTCACGTCGGTCGCCGATTTTTGGGTTAATTGGTCTAAGGTCCTCTTGGCTTCAACGACGGCATTTTGTAAGTGACTGATTGTTTGTACTTGGAACTCGATCTAAAAAATTGTAAAAAAAAAATATGAGAAAAATCACCAAAAGTATACATTGTCAATATATCTGTACACATACACAAGTTTGAAACAAACAAAGAAAACGTATACTCACTTGTTTCGACAAATGTCTTTTTTCTTTTTCTACTTGAGCAATTGTTTTTTCCTGAGTTTCGATCTAACAAAATAATAGACACCGAAAAAAAAAATAGTAACAAAATTAAATACCAGTTTAAATGAAGTGATACTGAACATAACTTACTTCAATCAACGTATCACGCAAAACACAAATTAAAAACTTAAAAATAATGTAAAACTTAACGTAATTGAATGCCTTACAATAAAATTTGACAAAAAAAAAATTACCCTTTCTTGTAACGTTTTATGTACATCTTCCACTTCCGATTGTGATATTGTTATGGAATCTTTTTGAATTCTTATAATTTCATCCATATTTTCCATCTAAAATAATAATACAAATTTTAAACAACACATAAAGACTTTTCGATTTACATACTGATTGGACAATTACCAGTTTATCTTTCGAGTACCAAGCTGCCTTAATTTTTTCCATTTCAAAACAACAGTAATCTATACTCCCTATATGTTTCGCTAGAAATTCTGATATATTTTGATCACATGGGTGGGGTGATCCTTCAGGTACCTGTAATTTTATAAGAGCATGGATGTATTTGGTTTGTGCCAGAATACATTAACAGTTGTAAAATTAAACTTACCAATCTTTTGAATTTCTCAGTAAGCGCTTGTAGGTCACTTTTTATCGTTTGAATGGTATCTTGTAAGCCTTTGAACAATTGAGATATGTTCTAAAAGATATTGTAATCAGGTGATATTCATTCATCAGAGTATAACGTAACAACTTACAATAATTCATACCTCATTCGTTCCCTGTAAGATTGATTTCGATGGACTACCGTAGTGTTGATCTTTCTACGATTAAAATTATTTATTGTATTTTACCTATTCTAGCCATTTTAAGAAAACAAATCAATTATATGAGCTCACCACAAAGTCAAGATGTTGTGACTTTTTCGAATGTGTTTCATTAATTACTAAGCCCTTAAGACTATTTTCTACATCTTTTTGTACTCTTAACTATAGAACAAAAACAAAAATTTGTTTATCATCAAGAACTCAGTATCAGTTGACTATAAAATTTAATTAATAACTAAAAATATTTACCAAATTTTCTAACTCAATAACTTTTTTCTTCAAATCTATACTTTCTACAGACGAACATCTTCGATTCTCCTCTGCCTTTGCGCGAGTAGAAATCAATTCTTTTTCTAATGATTCTATACTTTGTTTTAAAAAAATATTTAATTGTTGTTTGCACTTTATCTGTAAAATATATTAAGCAATTAACATGTATTTACTTTTACTACACGCATACGAACGTACTTCATTTTGTAATACGTGAATTTGGTCTTGTAAGTCCGTGATCTTGTTTTCCCATTCCAAGCTTTTTTGATTTATTTCATCTTCTTGAGATCCCTGTGAAATTTTTACTTTTGGAATAAAGTTTTTCCGAAAAGATAATTATTACAAATATTAAAAAAAAAAAATTTAAATTACCTTTTGTTTTAATTCCTTACATTCCTTATGTAGCCTCCGTAATTCATCTTTAAGTTTTATTGTATCATTTGTACTCTGCAAAATGAAAAAATTTTTTTGTATATGTAAAAAAAAAAAAAAAATAATAATAATTGTGTGTTACAGTATATGTATTTTTCATACCTGGTGAGAATCATCCGATTCTTGAATACAGCCAAATTCATTCATCTGCAAAGACAAATAATTATGTAAATTGTTAGCTCGGATTTATTTTGTAAACGATAAAATGATAAAATGTACCTGATCTTGCACGTTAACAATACTTTCAAGAACATCTTGCATTTTGGAATGACAATTGTCAACTTCACACTCATATTTTTCTAAACGCTTTAAATTCTTTTCACAACATTTTTCGGCAACATTATTTTCTTTTAACTAAAATAAAATTTAAAATTAAACTACGAATAAAAAAATATTTTAAATATAAGGAAATAAGTTACCAAATTTTCGGATTTTCTTTTTAAATCTTTTACACTTAGTTCCATGACCGTGATTTGATTTTTTAATTCATTCATCGTTGTTAACGTACAACAGCCTTGAGTTTGGAAGGTTTGTAAATCATTAACTATTTGCTCTACTTCCTCTGCTACGGATATAAGTAAATCATTGCACGTATTCATTTCTACATAGCCTAATAAATTATTTTGCTGTAAAAAAAAATTTTTTTTTCAAAGTTTTTGATAAAAGTTCTGCTGGAATATCAAATTAATTACATATATGTATTATGTACCTGAATATTATTATGTACATTATTAAGGCATTTCGATAATTCTGTTTGCGTTCTATTAAATTCATTTTTTACATCTTTTAACCTAATTCTATTATTTGTTATTCTCTCACTATGTCTAACCCTTTCTCCATCCTGCAAATTTTTTTTTTTTTTTTTTAATTAACATTTTAAACTTTTTTAATTATAAAGCAATCTATAAAAAAATTACTTGTAATTCTAAATGGTGTATTATTTCAACCATGTCCTCTCTGGTTTTTGTGAGGCAATCTTGCACTTGGCATACCATTTTATTAAGTTCTATGTACTGAACGAATGAAAAATGTTAGTTATATTTTATAATGAATAACCTTTGTTCAATAAATCGAATACATACTTTACAATGTCTTGAGTTTAAATTAGAAATTACTTCTGATACTTCTTCGTGTAAGTCTTCAGTTGCTGCTTGTACTTCAACAGTGCATAACCGGAATTCTTCCATCAAGCGATATTGTTTCGATATTGCGGCACAAATCTGGATTTAAAATTTAATTTAGTGAAAGTAAATGATTTACCGAAACGTCACTAAATTACTAACTTTAATTTTTCAATATTGATAGAGGTACGAAATTCAGACTTACAGCCTTTTGATCTTCTTCGTTCATGCTATTTTTCTTACACCTTTTATTGTTTTCGGAAATCTAAAGAAAAAAATGTTATTTACAAAAATTCGATGTAAAATGTGTTCTAACAAAAGATTAATTACAATTTTTCTAATAGAAGATGTTATCTTATGCTTGTTTTCATGAATTTCCGATAATTTCTGAATACCCAACGTGACTTTTGAGATCATGTCTCTTATTTCTGATTGAACGTTTTCTTCCATGCACTTCTGTAAAACCGATGATGTAATTTTAATTTTTTTTCAACAAAATTTTTTATGCAAGTAAACATTGAAGTACCTACTTTGCAATTGTTTTGGAATAATTTTTCAACAAAAACAATTTTTTTTTCTATTGTGATAATAAATTCCTTAACACCATCTCTACTGAAATCCTAAAAAAATTCTTTTTTTAACATGCAATACTTAATGATTTAAAAAAAATGTTGTAACTTTATTACTGACAAATATACGTAATACTAATTTCTTAATGTTTTTCCAAAAATAATTGATTAATTAGGTTCATATCAATGCCATGAAAAAATTTCTTAAAGTCTTCATGGTATTTGTTCTTGTGGATTAAAAATTGATTGATACATTTGTTTACTGCTGTTCTCAGCTCAAGTAACTCAACGGGCATATTTTTTTCTAATAAAGGAGTGAGCTTCAAAAAACGGTTTTTCTCAAACAAACAATGGTATTAAATTTAGCACATTACTTACTTGTTCTATAACTTCAGTTCTATAATTACTAAGGCAGTTTTCGATGTCCAACAATTTTTCGTTAGCTAAAGATACATCTCTTTCATGCATATTCTAAAATTATTAACAATCATTAAATCTTTTTTACTAATTGGTTGAGTACCTATACTAAATATATGTTTACCTTAGTTTGTTTTAAACTTTTAAGAACAGTTTCATATTCTGTTTTGAGATTATGAATAATTTCACTATCTTTTTCCATTGAAGTTTTTAGATTACTCAAATAATGCACAATTTCTTTCTGAAATAGTTTTTTTCTTTTTGGTAAAAAATAATTTGTAATTATTGTTTATCGTAACAAATATTAACTTTTTAAGAACAGTTTCATATTCTGTTTTGAGATTAT